AGTGGTGCTTCAGGTTAAGAACAGTTTCAGGTTAAGAACAGACCTCTGGAACAAATTAAGTATGTGACCAGAGGTAGCACTGTATGGCCACAACACCTGCCTGGCTTGCGATGAGGGAGCTCAAAGAGCGTCAGCAGGGCTCTCTATACAAAGCACCTAGCATGGGGGAACCTACAGGTAATGGCTACACGTCTATTTCCTGCCCATGCTCTGGGGTTGCAGTTTTCAGGCTCAGGGACAGGAAGGTGACTGGGTTTGGCACCAAGTTGTGTCCATAAGCCCCACTGAGTTCAAGGGGATCAACTCTCAGGTCACTACTATGCAGACCCTGCCAGCCTTACGAAGTGGGGTGAGGAGTAAACAGGTGAAATTGGAACCACTGGAGAAGTTTAGAAATGGGGCTTCTGTTAGGGGCAGGAGAATATCTAGGGCAGGAGTTTCTCTGAGGCTCCCTTTGCTTCTTCCTCTCTCCCAGGACCCTGCAGCTTCTTTTGGCTCCTCAACTCCTCAGGAAGGATGAGTGAGACAGATCCTGTCAAGCTAGAGGAGATGGAAGAGGGAAGATGGACGCATGACCTGGTCAGGTTGTCTCCTGCATCCCTCCCCACAACCTCTGAGCGTTCCCTCCCAGGGACCTCCGAGAGATCTGGTGAGTCCCAGGGGAGATGGGGATGTGGAGGGATGGAGCCAGAGAGGAATTGGGGCTTGCTCAGCTTGGGGGTGGGGGGAGGCAGGCAGGCGGATGGAGATGGAGAAGGGGAGCACCTTTTCGGGCTCCCCCACCTACCTGCCTGCCTGCGCCTTTGTCATCTGCAGGCAATTTGAGCCAGGAATAGGTCACAGCTCCCGCCCAAAGCGATGTATTGGCAGCTCTAAATGTCTAAAACCAGTTCTGTGATCTGGATGCCCTACCAATGTCTGACAACTCACTGATCCATCGCGCAGCACTAGAGGCCACGACTCTTTAATCTGATCCTGCTTTGTAGATTGAACGCAGATGAGGCCTCCGTGTATTGGTTTTTTCTTTTCTTTTTGGAATAACTTTTTATTTGCTTTTAAAAACAAGGATCATAGGACTAATAAATAATACAATTACGTAGGCCAGGTCTTCTCATGTCATTTCTATGTAAAATAGCAGAATAAATTTGCAGGAATATCTATAACATATGGTTCATCATTAGTGGTCAGGGTATGAGTTCTGGGTTCATTAATTGCTTTCAACTGAAGAAAAGGGGGAGAACAGGAGAGAGCAGAGAACATTCAACATCGCAGAGCCGAATGCCTAGACTGGAGCTCTTGCGGCTCTTGTGCCTAGATTAATTTTGAGCAATAGTCATTATTCCTCTTCTGTCACCAATGAAACAATACAGAGTTGGTCTCCTCATGAAAATGGGAGGGGATTCAAAGTGAAGAAAGAGATTTACGTATACATTTAAGTTTAGACCAACCAGATTGAGGCAACAGCTGATGGAGAGTGTTTAGGTGAAGGTGTTGCTGTTTGTTTCACAGACGAGGCGTGGACGTTGCTGGATCCTGACCAGAGAGCTTTGCATAAGGAAGTCAAGGAGGAGAATCATGGGATCATGTACCCTCTCGGTAAAACTCCCTGTTGGATCATAAGATCAGTTGTTTTTTTTAAAATTTATTTAATCATTTTTTCTATATAAACAGCAACCGCAAAAGACACTACTGTACAACAAAAACCATAATAACAATAATAACACAATTTGACAATTCAGATTTAAATACACTGATATACCTGTGACTGCACCCTTTTAACAATATTTCCCCACCTCTCTCTCCTCCCCCCACTTCCCACCTCTATCCACCTTATTGCTTAAATATTCATTCCAGATTTCTTCCTATTTATCCATTCTTAATTTGCGTTGACATGCAATTCTCCCAGTATATTTGTTTTAGGCTTAGTAGACTGAACTCAATTTTTTAAGCTAGTATATTATTCAGTTCTAATGTTAGTTGTTGTATTCTTTCATATGTACCCTCAGATGTATTATTTTCCATATCACCCCATAGTGTTTTTAAAGAAATGTTTAGATTATTTTACTTTAATCTTTGCAGCTTGGCTTTGTTGGCACTGAAGGATATTATCTTCCCTCTGATGTAAGCTTTATATCCTTCCCATTCCATCAGTCGACGTTCAAGATTTGGAGTTATTTTAAAAATATATTTGTATTTCTTGGCTTATATATTGAATGAAGTTTTTTTTCCCATTTAGTAATGATATATAAATGGGACGCGGGTGGCGCTGTGGGTAAACCCTCAGCGCCTAGGGCTTGCCAATCGCATGGTCGGCGGTTCGAATCCCCGCGGCGGGGTGAGCTCCTGTCTTTCGGTCCCTGCTCCTGCCCACCTAGCAGTTCGAAAGCACGTCAAAGTGCCAAGTAGATAAACAGGTACCGCTTTCTAGCGGGAAGGTAAACGGCATTTCCGTGTGCTGCGCTGGTGCTGGCTCGCCAGAGCAGCTTCGTCACGCTGGCCATGTGACCTGGAAGTGTCTCCGGACAGCGCTGGCCCACGGCCTCTTAAGTGAGATGGGCGCACAACCCTAGAGTCGGACACGACTGGCCCGTACGGGCAGGGGTACCTTTACCTTTTTAATTATATATTAAGATATCATCTCCTCATACCTTCCTGGGTTTTTGATAAATTATTTTCCAGTATTACTGCTGAGTGATTAACTATAATGGGAATATCAGTGTCACATCAGCTAGTAAAGGGATGTAATGCTGATGTTAGAAAAAAAATCAATTCTGTGCTGGGTATTATGAATTCCTGCAAAATATGTATATGATTTTTCCTTAGGGTGATGCAATCTCCATGATCCCACTAAATTCCACTGTATCATATAGTTATTAATTGTCTCTCTAACCTTTGTCCCTTTTTTTCCTGGCTACTGAGGTGGTATCCATCTGTGGATCTAAAATTTCATTAAAGTCTCCACCCCTTATCAAGTGCTGATACGATAGAAGGCTTAATCTCTTCAAGCAGGTGTGAATAAACTTATGGTCATCAGTGTTTGGGGCATAGACAATTACTATTGCTATTTCTGTCCCTTCTGTTTTAATTACAATTATTAAGCATCCACCACCTTCCTCTCTTATTATATATTGTATTTCATGAGGCCAGCCTTTCCTAAATAAAATTGTGACTCCCCTAGCATTTTCGTCTGAGTTTGTTGAAATAACGTCTTTTACCCATTGGCATTTCAAAGTTTGAGCCCCTTGTTCTGTCAAATGTGTTTCCTTTAATAGACCTAGATCAGCCTTTAATGACTGTAGATATTTGAGTGTTAGCATTTGTTTTTTTTTTCTTTTCCTTTAACCCCTTGACATTCATACTTATAATTCTCATTATAACTTTAATCTGTAAGCTTCCTTGTCCTCTATTTTATCTTTAGCAAAATTGTTTGGAAGGCCTAATATAGACCAAATATACTGAAAATTATTGTCGCTCCAACCTGAGTCATATACTGTATTAACCGTGCGTATATTTAACATATGGATTACGAAATATATGAGTAATTAACATTCTTGCATATCTAAATATATATAAGGCAGACTCTACCTGTTATACACACTGAAATTAACTTCAAGTATTCCCAATTAAATAATTATTATTTGAAAATATTCAAAGGAAGTAGAGAAAAAAAGAGAGAAAGGTGTAAAGTAGTTCCATCAACAGTAAAAAGGATTCTGAAAGGTCAGGCTCAAATATATACCAATAGCCAACAATTAATAATATAATATCAGCACTAACAGTAAGAAAACAAAACATAAACTACTTAATACACTCAACAATAAAACAGAGATAAATAACAAAAAAGAACAACAGAAAGGGGGGGACCAAATTCATGATTTTTGCTCTATAGGAGATGCAAACATTCAGCCCTTTGAGCTCCTAGGTTCACATATATATAATAGTCAGGAGTATGTTGCTGTTTGTTTTACAGACAAGGTGTGGACGTTTCTGGATCCTGACCAGAGAGTTCTACATAAGGAAGTAAAGGAGGAGAATCGTGGGATCATGGACCCTCTTGGTAAAAATCCGTTAGATCATAAGATCAGTTTTGAAATTCCATTCATACCTCTATATGATGAACCTTCACTATTTGGCTGGAGACCAAGAGCATCTGGGATTCTAACACCCCTCACCGTGAACCCAGAATGGAGGGATATCAACTGTTTTCTCTGTGAATGTTCTGCGTCTAGTCATGCCTTTTAAAACAGTGACCAGGCTTCTCTGAACCACCCAGGCCTTCTTAAATGCCGGCCTCAGAGTTTTTAGGGAAGTTGATGTAAATTCTGTCAGGCTTGTTGTTTTGGCTTCTGTTTGCATTTGATTGACCAAAGAGATGACTGACCTTGGAGATGGAGTGGATTCCAGGGTTGAGCCAGAACAAAATCTATCCCAGCTAAAAACCAAGCAATGTGTCAGTTAATACCAGCCAACTAAGGAAGTGAAAACTATAGAAAGGCCTCACATCTAACTCCCTTCAGTTCTTCCTCTATCACAAGCATTCATTAACTTCATTCAATAATGGATGTGAACCACGTCCCCTTCGCTCTGAGTGGGGCAGCAATGCAGAGTTAGCATGACTTACACTGACATGGCAGTGCATTGCTGGGGGAGGGGCAGGTGGTGGGTTTGATGGTTCTGTGTCTGCACCCCTGTCACAGTATGCTGGCAGTGGTGCCCCACTGGTTTCAAGAGAGTCAGGCGCCCCGCAGGCGTACTCAAATGCTGGGGGGTTGAAGATGCCACACATCGACAATGACATTAAGTTAGACTTTAAGGATGTCCTACTGAGGCCGAAACAGAGCACTCTCAAGTCTCGCAGTGAGATGGGGGGGGGGACATTGTTCAATAATCTGGAGCTCCATTTGTTTTTCAGGCACTAATTAACTTCTCTCTTCATTGCAGAAGGTGATGAATTGGAAGGGGAGAACAAGGGGGAAGTCAACAGAATCCACATATCGGAGAAGTCTTATAAATATTCAGAGTGTGGAGAGAACATCGGTCAGAGCTCCCAGTCCACCTCCCATCACAGAAAGAGTTTCATTCAGAGGGACAGCATCACTTCACATGAAAGAGAACAGAGTAGGGAGAAACTGTATCAGTGCAGAGAATGTGGAAAGAGCTTCAGTCGGAAGGATCATCTCACTTCCCATCAAAGAATTCATACTGGGGAGAAACCCTATCAGTGCTTCGAATGTGGAAAGAGTTTCAGAAAGAGCTCCCATCTCACTTCCCATCAAAGAATTCATACAGGGGAGAAACCCTATCAGTGCTTTGAATGTGGAAAGAGCTTCAGCCAGGGGATCTATCTCACTTTCCATCAAAGAATTCATACAGGGGAGAAACCATATCAATGCCTCGAATGTGGAAAGAGCTTCATTTACAAGCTGAGTCTCGCTTCCCATCACAGATTTCATACAGGGGAGAAACCTTTTCAATGCCTTGAGTGTGGAAAGAGCTTCAGTCACAGGCAGGGTCTCACTTCGCATCAAAAAATTCATACAGGGGAGAAACCGTATCAGTGCTTAGAATGTGGAAAGAGCTTCAGTCACAGGCAGAGTCTCACTTCCCATCAGCGAATTCATACAGGGGAGAAACCCTATCAGTGCTTAGAATGTGGAAAGAGCTTCCGGGAGGGGACTAAGCTTTCTTCCCATCAACGAATTCATACAGGGGAGAAACCCTATCAATGCCTGGAATGTGGAAAGAGCTTTAGTCAAAGCGCGCATCTCACTTCCCATCAAAAAATTCATTCAGGGGAGAAACCATATCAGTGCTTCGAATGTGGAAAGAGATTCATTCTCAGGCCAAGTCTCACTGCCCATCAAAAAATTCATTCAGGTGAGAAACCCTATCAGTGCTTAGAATGTGGAAAGAGCTTCTTGGAGGGGACTACGCTCTCTTCCCATCAAAGAATTCATACAGGGGAGAAACCCTATCAATGCCTGGAATGTGGAAAGAGCTTTCGTCACAATTCCAGTCTCACTTGCCATCGAAGAATTCATACCGGGATGAAACCCTATCCGTGCTTGGAATGTGGGATGAGGTTCAGTCGAAAGGATAGTCTCACTTCCCATCAAAGAACACATACAGGTCAGAAACCCTATCAGTGCTTCCAATGTGGAAAGAGCTTCAGTCAAAGCTCGAATCTCAAGACCCATCAAAGAATTCATACAGGGGAGAAACCATTATGGAGGCCTCCCTCTCTGGTTACAGGACACCCATGAAGTGTTTGGCAGCAGTCCTGTTTCTCAGTGACTCCTATCTGCTCATATGAGCATGCAAACAGCAGAGAAAATGAAAGTTGAGCTGTGGGAAGTATGTAGTATCGCTATTTATTGCTGTGTATCAAATCAAAACAACACAAATCATAATGTAGAATATAGCAACAGTGTGAAGAGCAGCTCACACTGACATCCTGTCTGTCTGGGAGACAGAACAAAGAGATGAAAAACAAAAGCACAAAGAACGGAAGTTCTGTGTCTGAGTTTCCGTTCTTACACTTCCAGAAGTGTGGAATGTAAATAAGGATCACATGATCCAGAAATGGGAGAGTGAAAATACTAGCATCCTATCCCTTTTCATGACAACCATTGCCGCATATTTAGCTCATGTGCACTTTATTTATAGTCAGTTGCTCTTTGTTAACAACATTTGACAACAAATCAGCAGCAATTTCTTTTCCTGGCATATAGGACACACAAGTCCTGTTTGGATACAATCTCTTGCATGAGATAATTTGATCTGCAAGTATTTGGTTCTTTGCTTATGTTAACGGAGAAATCCGAGGGCTCCTTTGGACAAAAAGCAAGGACACCAACCAGGAAAATTGGAGCAAAACAGCAGCCAGTAGGCTTGGGCTTTATTGAGACTGTCGCGATAGGACTCCAACTCACTGCAAGACGAAGCAAGATGGAAGCTCCAAACAAAAGAAGACCCCACCTTTTATTAGCTACTAATCCCCCATGCTACACCCCTAAGACTACATCAGAGCTACATCATTGATACATCACAAAAAGGAGGGTTGAGGGAGGAGTTGTGGTGGTAACCTGAGTGTCTTGTTCCACCTGGCCAGCTCCTTCTTTCCCCCTCCCCATGAGTACATCCCAGAGGACAAAGAGGAGTTCATGGTTTCCTGCTTCCAGAGGGAAGGGTTGGTCACTGGTTGTTAAGGCACGGGTTCCTTCTCCTAGGATGTGACCAAGGTATTTTACTTCCCTTTGGCAATACTGTATTTTCTTTGGAGGTACCTTGTGTCCTTTATATGCTAATGCCGTGAGAAATAAATCACGCAGAGGCAAAGTTCATTGGCAAAAGAAGAACTTTCGACTAAAGGTTTCTCAGCTGTCTTACTGAAAAAAACTTCAGGACACTTTGCAGACATAGTATTTTCCAGTATTTTCCAGTTTCTGCCCTCAAGACTTTAGCCATGACATTTTGTCTCACTGCCAGGAAAGCATCTCTAGCTCCCTAGTTTCGGTGGCAACACATTTTGGGATGCGGTTCTTTGCAGACCCATTTGTATTTCTTTCCACTTCGATACTTCATCCTTTTCTTGTGGGTAACCTCCAGTCTAGGAACCTTTTTAAAAATTTCTCCTATATATACATGACTGGATTTTAAAAATAAATAAATCTGAAAGTGATGTATAATGAGACTGAAACACTATAATTATTGGTAGAAAGTTTTTTTAAAACTTTCAAAAAATGAATCGGAAACAAATTTTAAAACATAAAATTTTCTTACCGTGAATTTGAGTGTACAGATGTGGGGGGAGGCGGATATTCCGAAGCAGAGCCCATCTTTTTCAAGGGATCCTTATTAAACGTGGGAATCCCATCTCTACAGCTCCCATAAACACCACGGAGAAGGTGGCCGGAGCCAGAAAGGCGAAAGCCTTGGCCTCGAACGCAGGCCTCAGAGACGCTTTCCCCCATGGAGACCTGGGACCCCTTCTCCTTCTGAAGGGACCTCCGAGGAGGAAGCCAGGGCGGATCAGTCCCTGGAACTGGGGGGCGATTCCAAGACTCACCCGGAAAGCGCCATTTCATGTTCCTTTCCCCACTTGCCAGGAGTCTGAGCTCCATTTGGGGTTCCTCCTTCCGCACCCCAAGGTTCCTCCAAGGCCTTGGGGAAGGAAACTGAGGCAGGCTCTGCTTGCTCCCCAGGGCCCTTGGGGGGGGGCTGTCTCTTCCTCTGGCCATGGCAGCCATGGAAGAAAAGCAGTAGACCCTCAGCAGAGAAAAGCCAAGTCCCGTTCTTCTCCGCAATGGCTTCCACTGGAGAGCCAGTGTGGTGTAGTGGTTCAGAGCGGTGGATTCGTAATCTGGGGAACCGGGTTCGCGTCTCCGCTCCTCCACCTGCAGCTGCTGGGTGACCTTGGGCCAGTCACCCTTCTCTGAAGTCTCTCAGCCCCACTCACCTCACAGAGGGTTTGTTGGGGGGGAGGAAGGGAAAGGAGATTGTGAGCCGCTTTGAGACTCCTTAAAGGGAGTGAGGCAGCTCTGCTTAGGGAAGCTTTTAATGTTTTAATAGGTTATTGTATTTTGGTGTTCTGTTGGAAGCTGCCCAGAGTGGCTGGGGAAACCCAGCCAGATGGGTGGGGTATAAATACATTGTTGTTGTTGTTGTAAAGCGGGAGGTCTCCCCTGCTCAGCGCCTGAAGGCCCCAGTCCTGCCCCCTGGCCTGGGACGGGGCCTGAGGGCCAGACGCTGCCGCTGCTGGTCAGAGGGCTCTGTTTTGTTTGTTTTTTGTTTAAGTTGCTGTTATTTTTTACCTATGTCATTTTAAACTGTGATATTAATGCTGTATTCTTCGTTTTAGATTTTGATTTATGTGGAAATTGTTTCCCATTTGGTTGTGTATGTTTTTATGTGGTTTCTTTATTGTTTATAACTTTTGTAATTACAGTGGTACCTCGGGTTAAGTACTTAATTCGTTCCGGAGGTCTGTACTTAACCCGAAACTGTTCTTAACCTGAAGCACCACTTTAGCTAATGGGGCCTCCTGCTGCTGCGCCGCCGCCGGAGCACAATTTCTGTTCTCGTCCTGAAGCAAAGTTCTTAACCTGAAGCACTATTTCTGGGTTAGTGGAGTCTGTAACCTGAAGCGTATGTAACCCGAGGTGCCACTGTATGTAAACCTTGTTATGCTGTGAGCCGCCTGGAGCATTGTTTTTTAACTGTGGAAAGGTGGCATACAAATAAAAAATGATGATGATGATGATGATGATGGTGATATCAAAGTCTTCTTCCTCTTCTGAGGGCTTCCTCTCTTTCTTGTCCGCGCTGGACTGGGGGGACCCCAGTTCAGCCAGTTCCCCAGAGGCCCACAGGGATCCGGAGTGAGAGTAGTTCTCCTGTTGAACTACTGCCTGAAGCGGAGGAACAGACGTCTTAGCCCGTTTGGGGGTGTTACAGGAAAAATCTGAGGGCTCCCTTGGACAAAACAAAGACACCAACCAGGATAACTTGGAGCAAAACAGCAGCCTGTAGGCTTGGCCTTTATTGAACTGATGCATCAGGGTGTTCCCCTCACTTGCAGGAGAGAGGAAAGACCCAGAAAAATAGTGTGCCAAGTCTTATAAAATCTTTTGAAATTCCCCTCCTCTAGGTCAAGCCCACCCCCAGAAACATCATGCATACATTACAGAAAGGAGGGGTTGAGGGAGGAGTTGGTGGTAACCTGAGTATCTTGTCACCTGGCTGGTTCCTCCTTTCCTCCCTCCCCATGAGTTACTTCCAGGAGACAAAGGGGAGTTTGCAGTTTCCTGCCCCCTGAGGGAAGATCTGATCATTGTCCTTTGTTTCAGTCCATGCTGAATCCACTCCCATATGCATGTTCTTTGTGATCTTGATTGTCTTCTGTCTGGGATCATCAGGGCAGGGCTCCTGCAGATGTGCTGAGACGGTGAAGGGATTTTGGCTGACCAGGGTCAAACCACCCCCCTTTGCCAGTTCTTGTCATATGGAGTAAAATAAAAATGGAACAGTGCAAATCCAATGTATGGTTGATTTTCTATGAATTTATAACAGAAATGTGGCGTATGTAGTGTGTGAGTGTCTGTGTGTGTGTGTGTAGTTTGTACAAATAGAATGATTGGGGTGGGGGGGTTCCTGCTACAGTTCCCCCCTTCGGAGATAAGATTGCAAAGGTGGCTACTTTGCAATCCTTTTCTCCGCACAATTTAAGGTGGTAAATATTAACCTGCTATTCTCCGTCCCAGATGTGTGTGTCCATGTGAACTTGAAAGGGACTTGGATGTCATGCTTCTTAAGGATGTTTGCATAGAAATATAATGGTGTAACAGTGCACAGAGTTAAACATAGGATATAATGTAAAATTAATATTTTGTTGCTCAGTTACTTGTGGCATTCTAGTACCTTGGAAGAGATATTTTCTCAATAGCGGCGTATGCTTTACATTTAGCAGGAAGCTCCACTAGTGACTGAAAAATGCAGTTTGCTTTGTCCCCCGCCATTTTTGTGTTCTCAGGTGTCAAGGTAGCTCTTCTATGGTCTCACACCAGCATGGTGTCACAGCAGTGGCAATCCCTGGTGAATCCACTTAGGGCTTTCATATTAACCGTGTTGTCTGGCACTCACCACAGCTGGCACAGGTTTGGGCACGTCCTGAGGGAAATGTCTCCGCCTTGGCCAGTCTATGGGATTTTTTATCATAGGCTGTGGTCTTGCACTCATGGGAAGTTGCTCACTTGCACTTAAAGGACCAAAAGCTAATTGCAGCCTGGATACACTTGCCCAATTCAAACTGAGTCCAATTTGAATTTATCTTGCCCCATGGTTCCCAACTTCTCAAACCAATCTGTTAAAACAAAACCATTCTTAGAGGGCATTTGTCCAAATAAGTCAATTTAACTCTATAAGGGATCATTCCTGCTAAACCAAAGCATATCTACCTTCATGTATCTTAGAAGCTTCTCCTTGGTAAAGTGAGTTTTAGCACATTTTTTTTTTAAATGGGTAGGGAAAGTTGGCATAGCGCCAGGTGGAACAACGAAATATGGTAATAAATTTATCTAATTCTAAACATTGGACTACATAATAGCCTGGTCTCTTAAAAGGCATAAAATGTATGAGAATCCTCCACTGGGTTGTAAGGAATAAGACATTAAACATAAAAACAATTATACAGAAAAATAGCCCCAAAAATAGCCCCCCCTTTTAGAACGCATAAAATGTATGAGAA